GGGGGGGGGGGGGGGGGGGGGGGGGGGGGGGGGGGGGGGGCGAGAGAGAGGGAGAGAGAGATTAGCCTGCAAGCAAAAAGACAGGAAGACTACGAAAGAAGAGGGAATAACCTCTTTGCCGTCTGGGGAGGTGGAGTTGGCATTGGCCCAAAGTTCCAAGCACGTGTGGACGACTCAGTTCCTGCAACTTCTCGGTGTTCAGTGCTTTAGCTGTTGCAGGCTTTCAAAAAAGCCTAAAGCAATGCAGGGTGCCCACAGCTGTTTTTTGTGCGCTGGAGGCCTTGCCCTCACTTTCACGAGCTGGCGGCATGGCTGAGCAAGTGGGGCAGGTGCTAGATACTGTTGAAGCGGAATTGAAGCCCGCCCGGGATTGCGAGGCCGTTGCAGCTTTAGCTGAGGCTCTTCAGGTAAAGCCAAAGCCTCGAAAGCGATGGCATTCTCTTGCGATTTCAGGGCCCGAACTCGTCGCTCGCTCCAAGAGATGCAACCTCCAAAGTTCAGTAGCACGTCACTCAACCGATTAATGCAGCGCCCCTTCTCGTCATCTGACGGGAGATGCGGAAGGAAATGCCAGAGTAGGGCAGGTGGTTGTGCAAACAGAACGCATTGCTCATGCACATGTTGGAGGTCACTGGAACTGTAGATTCTTAGATAGGTGCTCTTTCTCCAAACATCGACCTTGCCAGCTGCTGCAACTTGAGGATGCCACGGCCGAAGCTGAAGCCACAGACAGAGAAGGCAGTTTTGTTGGATGCTGTGGGCAGAGAAACTCAATGCAGCTCTGATGAGTGCCCAGCCGTGGGATAAGTTGTTGAAGACTACGCGTACCCCGCAGTAGGTGAGGAAGGCACGGCATGTCGCTGTATGGGTTTGTTGCCAGCAGCTGGACCATACAGCAATGCACTAGCCGAGTTGATGTCAGAGAATGCAGCTCGTTAGCGTGGCTGGCCTGATGATCTGTGGATGGTGCTAGGCTAGGCTGGACCCTAGAATCTTGTTCATACCCTTGCCGAAAGGTTTTTCTCGTGTTTGGGGAAGCCGTTACTGCTGTTCTGCTGTGCAGGCGCCTCTTGCGACGCACAGGAGTTGGGGTGCCGATTTGTTGCGGTGAGATGCTAGACACAAGCAAGATCAGCAGAGTGCAGGACTACCACTGCTCTGCGCAGAAATTCCTGCAGAGGTTCGGAGCTTGGCGTGACTGTGATGAGCTGCAGAGCTTGGACATTGAGAGGATGCATGGTTTGGTACCGAGCGCAGGGTAATCGTCGCAGACCCCACTCAACATCAAAATCTCAGCTGTTTGCCCGGTCAACAAACGCCAAAGTTGGCGACAATGCTCGAACTGCTCATTGTCCAATGGCGAAATCAATTGCCGTAGCCTTCAGGCGGACTGCTGCAAGTCAGAAGGGAATGGCTGATTCTTGAGTTGACGCCAGGAATCTGATTAGACCGTCATTTATCAAATGACTTGAAGTTTCTGCCAGTGAATTGTGAATTCTGCTGTTCTTCCTCGTGACTCGTGGCTGCCGGCAAGAGGAAATGCACGAACTTCTGCAAGGTTGCGCTTGGACAGCTTCCTATCCTTCCTTGCGACCTCGCTCCGACAGCTGCTTTGGAAGCTGAAGGCATCGTTGTATTCTTGCAGCAGCAGTATTTCTGCAGTGAGTTTTCTCACAAACGCAGTGGGTACTCCGAAGGCCCAACCTTGAGGCAGTTCTCTCCGTTGCCTTTCAGTTCCGAAGGCCAGCCTGAAAGCCGGCACTGCTGGCCCCGAGGTGACGAGGACATCTCGGAGCAAGAGTTTTGATTTAGGCTCCCAAGACCCCAAGATGTAAGGGATGGTAAGGGTTGTGTCCGAAGCTGGGCCTGGACCTGGGAGCCTTGCACCTGGCAGGAACTTTCAACTTCAGTTGGCGCGGTCCTTGCAATTGGCTGCGCAGTACTTGCGCAGCATGCCGGGCAGGCTGGGGTGTGTGCCGGGGAGTGGACAGAGACAGACAGACTCTCTATAGCTGACGTCCTCCTTTTGTAAAGGCTGCTGCCGCACCTGGCGGCCCAGGTCCTCGCAGCGCCGCTGGTGGCGCTCAAGGTGTCCAAGCAAAGCGAAGCTCAGAAGAGAGAGCCGAAAGCCGAAAGTGAACACTTAACTCTAAAGTTTACCAAAGTGTCCAAACAACAGGGCCATTTAGCGTCTTCGGCCTGGGGACCATTGGCTGCAGCACCGCGAGGCTTTCGGGGGAAATTCAGTTCGGATGGACCTGATGTTTGTGTTTGGCGCGTGTTTCCTCAATCCTTGATAGCAGTTCGTCCGGGATTGTCTTCGCCATCTCAGTATCTCAGATTTTTTGCACTGTGGTGTGATGTTGAAATTAGCAGGGCTGACCCGACATCTTGGATGGCTTTTTCCAAGGCATTGTCTTGCTGTTTTTTCCAGTCGCGACTGTGACGGTGATTGGATGCAGCTGCAGTTGTTGGATGCAGCCCGGCATATGCAGGGCTGGCTGCTTTGTGAGTATCAGATGCTGCGAACCAGGAGATGGCCAGACCTCCTGTGCCTTGCGCCTCTGGGCTTCTTACTTGGAGCTGCCTGGTTGCACGAGCCCTTTTGGATAACTGCCCGACGTCTCGTGCCTGACTCTCGTTTTTTGCTTGTCTTTCCATGTGCAGTCATAATCTGCTCTTGACCTGTTTGCCCTTCGTGAGTTGAGGGTCCAGAAAGGCTCCGGACCGCCTAGGTTGCAGGTTCTGTCAGGTTCTGCGCTCCGAGCGCGATACCTGACTGCCAGCAGGTAAACGGCATCAGCGTTGGCCATGACGCATGCTCACCAGCACCAGCAAGGTAGTCATGGCCTATCAAAGATCTCAATGGCCAGGGCGCTTGCTGCTGCTCCCAATCCATGGTCGTGTAGCGAAGGAACTGCGCCTAGCTGGCCGCAGATTGTGTCTTACCTAAGCATGGGTCCCTGCGTTCCAGGCCTGCTTTGTTGTTCCGCGTTGCTCGTCTCACGGCGTCTCATGCTCATTCATTGGGATGGCAGCTGGACCTATTTCCACTCGGCGTGAGCAAGCGGAACTGCCCAGAGCATCAGCTTGGGGGCGAAGTGAGCCTTTACGAACTTTTTCAACCCACGCTACATCTCAGACAAGACGTACACGAGAAAATAATGGATTCGAAATGGA